AACGTTACCCATATCACGCCTTGCGTCCTCTATGGAGCGATTATTTTCCACCAACAACACTTCATGATCAGCGGTTCTGTGTTCAAGACTGGTTAGTCTCCGGGTGATCTCGTTAGCGGGCAAACCTGCGTCAGAATCAGGAAGACGTTGGGAGGATAACGCCGCCCCTGAATTGTTGAGCGAAGCCATCTTTCTCTCTAAAGAGGTTATTCGTTCACTCTGTTCTCTTAATGTACTTTGCTGGTTTCTTGTTTCCTCTGTGCCAATTTGCAACTGACCGAGAATATCTTGGATCACACTATCATAGTTTGTCAATAGTTGAGGACTTCTAGACACGGCCGAAAGATCACGTTTCAAAAAGGTTTCCAATTCGCTGCTCAGCCGGAGTGCAAAATGGAGAAGCAAAGACGTGTGGTGGGCACTTGCTTTTTCCAGATGCTTTTTTTTGTCTCGCTGGCTCATGACCTGTTAATTTATGGCAAACGATGTTTTTAGGTAGAACTGAATGAAAACGTTTTCCCTTCAGGGATTTAAATAACCTATTTTTCTACCACATCTCGCCCTCACTTTTACTAATTAATCCTTCTCGTGGGTGAGGTGATTCCATTGCATTAAGCGTCCTTACTGCACATAATTACTTTCTCATTAGGGAGTGTAAGAAAACCAGGACGGCAACGGCAACGTCGCTAAAGCCTGGTTCACACTTGTGAGAAAAGCAAAACACTAGGGAAATAAGCATAATGGCAAGCGCAAGAAAAAGGAACATGTTCCTTTTTCTTGTGCTTATGCTTGTTCTTATTTCACTTGTGTCACGCTCTCACAAGTGGGAACCTGCTTATTTCACTAGTACTATGCTTATCCCACAAGTTTGAACCAGACTTAAACAAAAGGTTTAGGCCTGGTTCACACTTATGAGATAAGCATAACATTTCTGAAATAAGCATAAGCACAAGAGAAAAGGAACAAGTTTCTTTTTCGTGTGCTTACGCTTGTGCTCATTTCACTAGTGTTACTCTTACCTCACAAGTTAGCCNTCAGAAGTAAAAGAAAGTTTACTTCCTTTTTGCTAGAGAGGTTAAGAACACTTGGCGATAAATCACGAAACATTTTGGCAGCAAAAACAGCTTTAAATTTTAGCGGGCCGTACAGTAGAATACGGCTCGCTAAATTGACCAATCACAGCACGCGTACTAACTGAGAGATATAATAAAAAAAGAAATATAAAACATTTTCTCGAGATAACGAAAGCTTCGGTTTGTGTTCTCACAGCGATTTTCATTGTCCCAGACTTCCACTCGTGCTCATTACCCCATAGAAACAAAGAAGAAAATGTTTTCTCCTTCTTAACAAGCCATAATAGAAATGAGGTTTGGTTTCACCTTGTTAGACTCTTTCAGTCGGTTTTAGGACCGTAAGATACATTATATATCGAAATATATCATATTGAAATAAGCTTTCAGTGCTTTGTTTAGAGGCAAAAAAAACAGGAAGTCGTCATTTCTGAGCAGTCGTTGCTTTTGAGAGTGTGGGGGCTAGTTGCTTCCGGAATTTACAGCAAACCGACTAAATTTTTAACATCTCTATAAAACATGAATTGAGTGTACTTCTCAACTTAATATAACCTCTTACCTCGCACCGAATGTGCAGTCTTGTTACAACTATATTTTATGCACGAACATAACGTGACTGATTCGCAACCATTAACTCCTGTAATGTGGAACTAAAATAATTAACTGATGATGAAAGGAATGAATTAACGGTGATGGTATCGGTTTTGGTATAAAAGTTCCGGGAACAAAGCCTGAAATAACAGGGAAACATGCATGTTTGAATTTTACAGGGGCCTACGTCAAATGGATGGACCGAAAGGGCGTGTAATAGGTCTCACCTCTTTCTTGGAACAACCAATTTGTGAAAATGGGCATGGTCCTTCTACTCCTTCGCAGTCTCCCAAAATAGGGTTCTGATGATCTTGCAACTATATAGACAAAACAAAATAGGTCCATAAAACAATTAATTACAAAATCTGTGATTGTGCTTAAGGAAAAACCTGGATGAAGTCAGTGGTCCCGGTATCTTTAATGTAAATCAGAATTAGGATATTTTATACACTTAAAAAAAAATGACTCATATTTGGCTGCTATACCTGTCCCCGAAGAATGTCATCTCTTCCACATTTGTCACAAGCAACTGGGTATCCTGGACACTCATTATCATGATGTTCCTACAAAATAAAATGCTCTGATTAAACATAACACTTATTTGCACAAATTCGGAAAATGTCAATACTCATGTACACTATATCAGCTTGATCGTTCAATGACCGCACGTTACAGAGTCACGTTTCCCGGTGATACACTGGAGTGCTCTTCTGTATCCGTTAGGAGCACTTTCAAAAGGTTACACAACAACAACTAGCTTTATT